AACTATCTCACAGAGAGTGGTTTTATAGAAAATAGAGTGGAAACAAAAGGGGAGAAATCATGTGGCAATCAATCTAGAACATTGCCCTCTAGTAGCTCAAAAGCAAGGAAATCTATTCTTAAGCACACAGAAATCCCTGATTTCCCATGGCTGGTGGACTTTCCATCTTTCATCCCTCAACCCATCCCAGCATCTCCAATTTCCATGACAGCACAATGGAGCATGGAGGCTCAAGGGGTTCCCTGCCTTAGGATCATCCTACATACCTCCTCCCCAAGGATAGCGCAGACTATATCCCCACTCCCCTTCTACTTTTTTTTTTTTATGATTTATTTGAGAGTGAGTGCACAAGAGCACAGAGGGGAGGAGCAGAGGGAGAGGGAGAGGGAGAGGGAGAGAGTCGTAAGCAGACTCTACGCTGAGCACAAGCCGAACACAGGGCTCAATCCCATGACTGTGAGATCACGACCTGAGCTGAAACCGAGTCTGACGATCGACAGACTTTGCCACCCAGGCGCCCCCTCCCCTTCTACTTTCAAAATGGAACACCCCCCTACCCTAACTTGTAGTCAGGAACATGGCTACCTGAAATTAACATTAGTGTCCATGCACCCCTGTGTAGCAAGGTGTGGGCGTGTGATTAAGTTCTAGCTCATAGCGTATAGGCAGAAATATCTTGCAGCAACTTCCATAAGTGACAGTGAGCATGTGGCCTTTGCCTTTCTTTTACCCTTTCCTCCTTCCCTCTGGCTGAAATAAAGATGTGATGACTGGATAGTCTAGCATCCTTCTTGGACCATGAGCTAAGTGTCACTGAAAGGAAATAGGACCTTGGGCTCTGGACCACTGACTTAGGTGAGAGAATAAAACCTTACATATTCTCTGTAAAATGTGGATCCCATTTCAATCAGGTGCACTTTTTTTTTAAGATTTATTTATTTATTTTAGGGAGTGAGGAAGAGAGAGTATGTGTGCACATGGCAGGTGAGGGATAGAGGGAGAAGAGAATCTTAAGCAGGCTCCATACCCAGCACGGAGCCTGACATCAGGGCTCGATCTCACGACCCTGAGATCATGACCTGAGCTTAAACCAAGAGGCAAACGTTTAACCAACTGAGCCACCCAGGCGCCCCTAATCAGCAACTTCTTATTTTTATTTTTTCCTTAAGATTTTATTTATTTATTTGACAGAGAAACAGCAAGAGAGGGAACACAAGCAGGGGGAGTGGGAGAGGGAGAAGCAGGTTTCCCACCGAGCAGGGAGCCCGACGTGGGGCTCGATCCCAGGACCCTGGGACCATGACCTGAGCCGAAGGCAGACGCTTGACGACTGAGCCACCCAGGCACCCCTACTCAGCAACTTTTTAAAGTAGGTACTGTTTATTGGACCCATTTTATAGACAAGAAATCTGAGCTAAACAAGATGGCTGGGAAGTCTCGAAGCCAGGATTCAAACCCACAGTGACCTACCTGATGGTTTGTACAGATGCCTGCTACCCTACACTGCCTCTCAGGGAGAGGAGAAAAAGAAAGGTGTTAAAAAAAATAATAAGTACCTTCTACCTCGAAAGTTGCCATACTTGATTAGAAACTTTAATTCTGCTGTACTCTCACTCCACCAGAAAATGCCTACCACTTTCCAGCCTTTGAAAAACAGGATCTCCTGCCATCACCTACACATTCCAGAGTGACTTCCCCAGGCAACGGTAACTGCCGAGCAGGGGGGAAAGCAGCAGCAAAAATGTTCAAAACTCAGGGCACCTGGGTGGCTCAGTCGTCAAGCATCTGCCTTCGGCTCAGGTCATGATCCCGGGGTCCTGGGATGGAGCCTGGCATTGGGCTCCCTGCTCAGCAGAGAATCTGCTTCTCCCTCTGCCTCTGCCCCTGCTTGTGTGCTCTCTCTCTCTCTCAAATAAACAAATAAATAATCTTAAAAAAATAAATAAAAAGAAATGGGTGATCCTACTCTTGACTCAAATAGAAGTATTTGTGATGTCCACTGGCAACCAGGAGAGCCAAGAATTCTGACCGGCTGGAAAACTAGAACTTCTGACAAGAACTAGACTGTTCTAATACCTAAAAACAAAAGGAGCGCTTCTTCATTTCCCTCTTCATAACAAAACGGACCATGCTCTCCCCGGAACATACCCTCAAATGTTTGATAAGGTAAAGAGGTCTAGAGTTTCACATCTGTTTTCCTGAAGTCACATCTGTTTTCCTGAAGTCAAGCAAGAGATCAAATTGGATACATCATCCCAAAGGGAGAGGAAATCATGGCTTTGGGGACCAGAGCAGGATGGGTCACCATCCTGGTCACCAACATGTTTTCCTACCAGACAGAGCTACCTGACATGTCCCAGTGCCCCTTGCAGTTGTCATGGCCCTGGCCAACAGAAGTTGAGCAGAAGTGACATACGTCCCTTCCAGGCTGGGGTGGTAATGAAATGAGCGTGCTCTCGCATGTTCTCTCCCCATCCATGGGGCCAACAGAGAGAAAGCTGGAGTCCTGAATGACCGTGTGCAAAACTGCCTGACCAGAATCACTTGTACTGGTCTGGGCTGTGAGACAGAAAGAAATCCCTTTCCGTCAAGTACAGAGACTTTAAGGCTTATCTGTTACAGCAGCTTTAACAGATTCTTACTAATACCTTAGCTAGGATAGATGTTTTTAAATGCAAGCCCTATGAACAGTTTATGAGCTCAAGTTTTCTGGGCATTAACAGAACTAATTTATTTGATGGGAAATTTGTCAGAGTGCCCTGGCTTCCTTGTTCTACAGTTTGCAACCGATGGGCAACACTGAAATTAGAAGCAGATGTCCCCCCCAAGAAGGCAAACAGCACCATCCCTCAATGGGTGACTCCAGAAGGTCCTTGTCTCCCATACAGATTTCACTTCTGTGCGTAAAACTGAAAAAGTCCCAACTGACATTTCTGAGGTTCAGCCTCAGTGACTTACACTTGCTTTTTAAATGTTCTACTAAAGTATAGTAGGGGCACCTGGGTGGCTCAGTCGGTTAAGCATCTGCCTTCGGCTCAGGTAATGATCCCAGGGTCCTAGGATTGAGCCCCAAGTTGGGCTCCCTGCTCAGCGGGG